GTCATCTTTTGAAACACCATCTGTGAAACACATGCTGCCATGTTTGCAGAGACCCACATTTATACTTGCATCTTTTTTATGTGATGCCTACTTTTAATTTGTATAATTTGCTTTGGCTTTTCATAACTATTTTTATTTGATGGAACTGTTTGCATTAACCATAAATTATAAATAAAAAAAGAACTGTGTAAAATAAAAAAATAGTAAAAGAAGAGCTCATTTCCTTTGGAAGGGAGTTGGGAATGGTAACAGGCTAGAGAGGGGAGCTCCTGGCCTTGGCAGTAGAATGTTCATGGTGAGAGGCAGTTTCCTGCCCTCCATGGCCAGGAGAATGGAGTACTTGCCACTCCTCTAAGCCTTCCTTCAAAGAATCACAAGAAGTGGAGCCTAGCATCTGGTTGGCTAGGCTCAATGATTCTTCCAGAGAAGAGAAAACTGGGGGATATGACCTTTGGACAGATGTGGGAAGCGGCCACGCCATGTGACCAGCATTTTCCTTCCCTGATTGGTGAGGCTCTGTCGGTTATTTCCCGTGATCTGGCCACATCAAGTGGCCCTAGATGGTGCCGGATCTCAGAAGTCATAAAAATGTAGCAAAGGTGTTTTCATGCATAGGCCTGCCTTCCTACAGTCCCAGGGGTCGAGTTACCTTACCTGTCCTGTAACCCCACCCCTCTTGATCTTTACTGGATGGAAATTTCTAAAGAATGAGAGTCCTGTGCTAGCTTATGCTCGCATGACATGTGCTTCTCTCTCTCTCTCTCTCTCTCTCTCTCTCTCTCTCTCTCTCTCTCTCTCTCTCTCCAGCCTCTTGTGACATTCCTCACTCTCCCATTTGGGGAGCTTGAGGCGAGGGCAGAGAAGCCATCCTGGGGCTCGAATTAAAAGTAAATTGTATCTGTGTTTTATTTTGGTACCTTAGGAAATCCACTTAAGCGACTCTTAGTTGGCTGCCCACCCCCCATTCACCACACACGAGTTTCCCATAGAAAGTCATTTGACTGTGTTCTTCTCAAGCATGCTGTCTGCCAGATGAGAGGAGTGTGAGAGAGTCCTGGTAGGAACAGAATGGAGCAGGGGAGTTACAAGTTCAGTCAAAGCTAGGGAACTGAGGAATGGGGAGAACTCAGGGGAGGTTGTGACTATATCATGTTCTTTCCTTCTTGTCTGTTAAAGGAGCAGCAGAAGCCTATCAGAGGGGGAAGAGGGCCTCCTCTCCACAGCAGACCCTCATGCCATGGAGTTAGAATTGCATATAAGATCAGAGTTTGCAAACTGGGTGGATCATTTAGTAATTAAGAGTCATATGAATACTATGGGCTCTGACATAGAAATTTATGTTCACCAAATAAATTTATAGTCCATTAATATGAATAAAGCATGGTTTGTTTATCTGTTTTCCTGATAGCAAGTATGTGGTTCCAACCTCTGATCTTTATATGGCTGCAGTGAACATCCACATATCCTTAGGTACTGATACAAATATTTCTGTAGAACAGGTTCTTAGAAGTGGAATTATTTGGATTCAAGGATGTTTGCATTTGTACATAACAAATCCCAATATTATGTATACTTATACCAGTAAAAAATTTTAAAAAATAAAAAAGACACTTGTAGACATTACCAAAATTGACCTCAATTTGCATCAGTTTATAAGTCAATAAAAATGTGTGGGAGTGATACATTGGGAATCTTTGTTTTTCTAGTGACAATTTCCCTGTGGTGCCAATAATAACAGGACATTGCTTCACGGTGGAGATTTTAGCTTTGCTAGTCATTGAGTTGGGTGTCCAGAGTCAAGCAATGGAAGCCTTGCAGCCAGATACATCACAGGTATATACAGTCATCTCTCAGTATCTGCAGGGGTATTGTTGCCAGAATTCTCCTCACCTTCCCAAGGGTACCAGAATCTGCCCAAGTTCAAGACTCTTATGTAATATAGCATAATATTTGCATACAACCTACTCAGGCCCTTCAACATACTTTAAGTTGTCTCTTATTTATTTATTTTATAATATTTTTTAGTTGTAGATGGACACAATATTTATTTATTTATATGTTGCTGAGGATTGAACCAGTTTCTCACACATGGCAGACGAGCACTCTACCACTGGGCCACAACCCCACCTCCTGTATTTATTTATTTTTATGTGGGGCTGAGGATCGAACCCAGGGCTTCACGTGTGTGAGGCAATTACTTTACCACTGAGCTACAATCCCTGTCCACTCTCAATTATTTAAAATACCTAATGATGGAAATTCTATGTAAATAGTTACACTATAGTGCTTAAGGAATAATAACAAGGAAACAAATTTACATGTTAAGTACAGATGCATTTATCAGATTTTTTGATCTCTTTGGTTGAATCTGCAGATATGGGATCTGCAGACACAGAGAAGTGCCTGTATTTTGTAGACTGGATGGAGATTTATACACAATTTCTGTGTTCACCCTTTTCTAATTTTGAGGAATATCTGCATGGGAAATGGGAGCAGTTGGGAGAACTAAATGCACCATGTCCTGTTTTTAGAAATTTATCTAAGAGTTATGGGGCACTTGCTGAAGAGACTTGGGTTTTTACTTAGGCCTTGGTGGCCTCCAGCATGGTCTTTGAAGTTCACAAAATGTGTAGCTTTCAGCTTGAAAGTTGGGCTTCCCCATTATTGAAAATAGACTAATGATACCATCAGTTATTTAAAAAACAATTCAATATTGTCTTTTGTATCCACTATGTGTTTGCTTTTCCTATTAAAATGTGAAGATGATCCTAAAGGAGTAATGTTTACATATGGTCAGGAAATATTATTTTTGAAATATACACTGCATTATTATTTTTTATAGTTACCATTCTGTATAAATAAATAAATCAGTGAACTTATTCACCCTGATCTACCTAAAATTTTATACTCTTTGGTCAATATTTCCTCTTTCCCCAGCCAATGCCATCCTGGCTTCATCATCCATCAACCAACTGTCTCCTATGAGTTCAACTTTTTTAGATTGTATATAATGGCGAGATTATATAGTATTTATCCCTCTGTGCCTGGCTTATTTCACTTAGCATACTGTTTTCCATATTTTATACACACACACACACACACACACACACACACTGTTCATCTGTATTATCACAAATAACAGAATCCACCCTGCGTTTATGTATTATTTACTTATTTTTCCATACTAGGGATTGAATTTAGGAACACCACTGAACCACATACCCAACCCCGGTGTTATTTCCTTATTTTTGAGACAGGGTCTCACTGAGTTGCTGATTCTGCCTTCGAATTTGCAATCCTTCTGCCTCAGCCTCCCAACTCAATGGGGTTACAAGCATACCGTCATGCCCCAATTATCTTCCTTTTTTTTTTTTTTGATAATAGACATTTTAACAGTGTGAAACATCTTATTGTGTTCTTAATTTGCATTGCCCTGGTGATTAGTGATGATGAACATTTTTTTTAATGTGTCTGTTGGCCATTTATGTTTGTATGTCTTGTTTGAAGAAATGTCTTTAATTTCGTTGCTTTTTTGCTGGAAGTGTCGCTGGGAATTGAACATAGGGCTTCATTACTCATGCATGCTACGCAAGTATCTACCATGGATCTACATTCCCAGTTCTTTGGCCATTTTTGGATTGTTATTTATTTTGTTGCTATTAAGTTGTTTAAGTCTATTATAAATTTTGAATATTCATCCCCTAACACATAGTTTGCAAATATTTTTGCTCAATCCATGCATTGTTTCTTCATCTTGTTGTTTATTTTGCTGTGCTGAAGCTTCTTTGATGCAATGCCTTTGTTTATATTTATTATTGTTTCCTGTGTTTTGGGCCTATATATAAGTAGTCTTTGCTCAAACCAATGTCATGGAGCAATTCCTCTGTTTTATTCTAGAAATATTACAGTTTCAGGTCTTATGCTTAAGTCTTTAATCAATTATAAGAACTAAATTCATATATATTTTAAAAATAGAGAAGAAATAAAAAAAATAAACCTAACAATCACCATTTTCTTATCCAAAGAAAATCACTTAACTTTTAGATTTACCCTTCCTTCTCTCCACCCTGCCACTGCCAACTGTTTTAATCTGAAAAATTTCAACCTACAGCAAAACTGCATGAGTAGTGCAATGAACATCTGTACACTATTTGCCTAGATTGACTAAGTGTTATTTTGTCATATTTATTTTATCTCTTTCTTTATATCTGCGTGTGTGTGTCTGTGTGTATTTTCCCACTTTGTCACTTGAGTCAGTTGCAGTTATTGTGATTTATCTCTAAAAGCTTCAGCCTATTTGATAAAAACAAGAAGTCTTCTGAATAACCATAGCACAAATGGCTCACTTAGAAAATTAATATTCACTTAGTGAATAAAGTTGTTATTTCATTTTCCTTAGTTGTCAAATTAATGCCCTTTTATGCTAAATTTAACCACTTGCTTAGTCTGTCAGATTACCATCACAAAGGTAACCATTCCCTTTAAATTTATAAAAGTTGTGCAAATTTACTATTTTAAGACAGAAAATACACTGTTCTCCAAAAGGCTTACACCCCACAGTTTTAGGATTCACTGGTGATTTTTATCTACCTTAATTATTTCCATGGTGTTGTGAACTGTTTAGGGTCCTCTCTCTCCTTTTCCCTCTTTCAGCTAAATTCCAACTCTTT